GAGAGGGCTGAAAGCCCTATGAAGCGGTATATAAGTCTAACTGCTATTGCTATTGCTATTTTTCTGTGTGATTTTGACTCAGGAAAAATTCACTTGACTACTACTTCCTTTTCACTTAATGAAGAGGGATGCACATCATTCTTTTTTTCAAAATTGAAGATTACACTTGGTCTTTGCAGGTGGGCAATGTTCCCAAAAGTTTGTGAACAAAGAAATAGATGGAGATTTTTTTTTAAAAAAAACCTACACTGGATTTGTTTCTTTGTACCTGAAAGAAACTTTATGTATTTTCCCCAATAATTTCAGACTTGAGGCAGTATAGGAGCTGCACTTTTTCTATATATTTCTACAGATATTTTCCACTGTTGCAAATATGGTACCTGATCAGATACTTAGAATTCTGCCCCACTATGAAGTCACTCCCATTTATAGGATCAGTATAAACGTGCAACCTTTATTCTAGCATGATATTTAATATAATTCTGTTTCATGGAAATGAAGGCCTTTGAGGTTTTATCTAATATTACTTGTATATCAAAGTAATGTAAAGAAGTAAAATCTAGAATTAAGACATTCAGCATGTACTTAATTGAACAGTTAACTTTTACTGGGTACAAGTTGTGTAATTAATATTTTAAGCCACCCATTGGGACATATATTCCGTTGTGAAAGCAAAGAATGCCTTTCAACGTTCTCTTGTTGAAATGTGTCCCCATCTTGTCAGCTGATAACTGACTTCATCGCTGTCTATTGTTCATGTGTTCTGATGCTTTCTGTTTCTGAAAACATCGTTGCTAAAAGAGAAAGCACTGGTAGCGCTAACAGTTTGGAAAATCCTGGCACACAAGCAGAGTGTAACTGCAATTCTCACCTTATAAATGCTGCTGGATTTACTTGATGGGTGTTTTGGGCCCAATTCAGGTTTAATGCTTCTGAATTTCTAACCACAGTTAGACTATGAGGCATATGTTGTTGGCTCATATATTACTTCTTTCTTGCATGCAAAACACCTTTTCAAATATTTGAAAAAATAAAATGATCTATTTAATTCAGAGTACATTTAGGTCCCATGAATTATGATTGAATATCAGAAAAAGCTCCTATTCATAATTGCAAAAATCAATTTGAGTGTGCACTTGTTTAGCTACGAAGGACTTCTCTTCACTGGCTGTATTCAAGCAAAGTTGACAGCTATCAGAGATTTTTTTTTTAGTTTAGATTCCTGTACTGATCAGAGAGTTCAACTTGATGGCGTAAACTGCTCTTTGCAATTCTGTGAAATCCATTTCCCTTTTTCAAACGCAACACTGCAATTGATTAAATAACCATGCTGTGTATAACAATATTTATTTACACTCCTAGAGAAGTGTGCTGCTACTTTGCATAGAATATTTTAATTGGCAAGCCTAAATAGAATTTATTTCTAAGCCATAAGACTATGTTGTTATTGTTTTCTTAAGTGATTTCCCTTAGAACGAAACTGAAAAGATGAAGAGATTTCCTGAAGTCTCCGGAGGGCAAAAAACTATCCTATGAGCAAACTGGAAGTCAATTCCGGATTGCTCGTAGGGTTGATTTTAGCCCTCCGGAGGATGCTCCTGGAGCCTCCAGAGGGCCTCGGGGGGGGGGGGCTGTTTTCACCCTCCCCAGGCTCCTATAAAACCTCTGGGGAGGGCGAAAAAAGCATGCAAAAAATGGGGGGGGAGCACCTGTCATGCGCGCTGGCTGGGTGTTGTGCATTGCATTATGGGTGTGGCATGCCCGCGCACGACCCCCCTGCGCCCCCCCCCCCCCCCCCCCCCCCCCCCC